CATTGAGCCCAGCAGAAAAGAATTATCATATCACTGAACAAGAGGCTTTAGCAGTAGTATGGGCAGTTAAATATTTTAGGAGGTATTTAGAGGATAACACATTCACTATATATACTGACCACTCAGCATTACAGTGGCTGTTAAATCAACCTACTAAAGAAAAGGATAGTAAAAGGATTATTCGTTGGAAAATTCTGTTACAACAATTTCAATTTGAAGTAAAATATCACAAAGGAAAGGCAAACGCAAACGCTGATACTCTCTCCAGGATTAACGAATTACAGGCACCAAACACATTACAAATATCAACACTAGTAGTAGATCATGGATAAGCAACAATATCAAAATGTAATTCAATACCTTACTAATCTCATTTACCCAGAAAATTGCAATACTTCTCAACGGAAACAAATTCAACGATTATCAACCTATTATATTGTTAAAAATTCACAATTATACAAATCAACGAAAGAAGGATTAAAAAGAGTAATTACACGAGAACAAGTGGAAGTACTCTTGTTTAATTTACACAAGGATATGTCAGGAGCTCATTTAGGAATTGAAGCTGTATATAATAAGGCTAAAGAGCGATATTATTGGCCACAAATGTTCGAAGATATCAGAGAATATGTAAAAAACTGTGACAATTGCCAACGAAGAGGACCAAGTATCAGAAAAGAACCATTACATCCTATTTTAGTCAAAGCACCTTTTCATCGAGTAGGATTGGATATAAAAGGACCATTACCTATTACAAAAACAGGGAATAGGTATATAATAGTTGCAATGGACTACTTTATAAAATGGCCAGAAGCCAGAGCCATTAAGGATATCAAAGCTGATACAGTGGCAAAATTTCTATATAAAGAAGTTATATGCTGACATGATACACCTGAAGAAATACTCACAGATCGAGGAATATCATTTATGAACCAAGTGGTAGCGCAGTTATGCTAAAAGTTTTAAACGAAACATCGATTAACATCACCATATTGACCTCAAACAAATGGAATGGTAGAGAGATTTAATCGTACTATAGGGAGTGTTTAGCCAAATTAGTGTATGACCAAGAAAATATTTAACTGCCCATACTACTGCTAAAGCCTCTTGTTCAGTGATATGATAATTCTTTTCTGCTGGGCTCAATG